CAACTTCTGGGCTGGAAGATGAAAAGACTCTGTAACTTCTGGGTCGAACTGAGTACACTAGATTAGGAGTTCGATGGAGACAGCTCTGGGAGATGAAAGGTCACTATAATTTCTGGGTCGAATTGGATGCAACAGCTTAGCATTTCGAGGGATGCAGCTCTGGGAGATGGAGAGACCATCTGCACGACATTGAACAGCAGGAGGTTTGCTTGACACCACCCTTCAGGCCTGGACGACTTGCTCTGATACCATGTTGAGCAAGAGCAAGAGAAGAGAGGAGAGTCGAGTGGACTGAAAACCCTCCCTTATACAGGGGACGAGTGTAAGAGTTATTATATACTGGCCCAGTCGTACAATATAAACAAGAGAGAAATTACAACAGTACCCTTGTGGTACTAAACCTGAGTACACAAAACAACTGTCAACAGCCTACCAACCACAACTTCCTTAACTGAGAAATTTTCATCAGGAGCAATCACGTCCTGGGGATCACCCTTATCTCCAGCATCATCAACTATCTCCCATTCTACAACCCCTCCAACAACTTCGAAATTCTCACCCTTCTCTTCCACCTTCCCAACTTCCTTCACTCCCCCCCAACCCAAGCTTCATGCCTACTTTCTCCTCTGAATTGGAAAAGACATTTGTGAATGATGTAGGATCACTAACTTTAGTCATCCAAACTTCATCCATCTGAATACCAGGTGACATAGAGTCCTCAGCTTTTTCATCATCAACTCAAGCCTTCTTAAGATCAGAAGACTTCTCCCCATCAAACTGAACAATCTTTTTCCTTCTTGATCTATCACATTTGCAAACCACCCAAACCTAGCCCTCCACCTCTTCTCTTTGCAGCTTAAATGAGCCAGACCTGTTCAACATCCCAATCCTTTTGGCCTTTAGACATTTAAAAGAGGAACCAATCTTCTTGTTTACCTGTAAGCTGTAACTTACCCAGCCACCTTCTCCTAACCTCTGAAGACCTCTTCCTCAAGAAATGGTCCCCACTCAAACCTCCATCAGGCCTTGTGGCCCAACTTAAATTAACCATTTCAATTTTTGAACAAACTTCAACTTCAGATCCAATCCCTCCCTCTTCTATAACCAAGAATCCAGGTGACCCACTGGAACGCACACCACGTCAGCACTTTTAGCAATTAAAGCAAGAGAGCCCACCCTTTCATTTGAATGGGCCCCACTCCCTCCACTAAACTCTGGGACTCTACACTCTTCAATTACTCCTCTCACCATCGAGCGACCCCCACTAAAGTTAAATTCTTTAATTCTAGAACTACCTTTGTCTTCAACCTCCGTTCCTTCATCAAGCTAACCTTTCATCTTCCTGGTCTTCTCCTCAGAAGGATGACACCTCTCAGAGCCCTCCTCCCTCCACAAATCCAAGCTTTCAACACACCTCAGTGGATAAGATCCTTCCACCACAACTCTTAGGTCAGATAGCTCTCCATAAAATGCAGGGACAAGGAAGAAGGAACCAAGTGAATCTCTTTTACTTCCACTAAGATGTGCACAGCAACTAGATTCCACCATGAAACTATCCTTGGATCAATGAATCTGAATTTTACACAAGCATCTCCTACGGCTTCAAATGTTTGAAAATCCCACACATGAAGAGGGATTCCAAAAATGTTAAACCAAACCAGATTTTAAGGTCCTACATCTCTGATTGCACCTACTAAAGGGTTCCATCTCCCAATCCTTAGTTCTCAAACACAAACCTAACTCTGTTCTCGCTTCATCCTTACTACCAAAAGTGAAGAGAAAAAAAGCCAACACTCAGCTTTCTTATCTGAAATGCCAAACTTGGATGCCATTCCACAACTACCCAATCCTTAAACACTCTACATCTGAACCAGAGATAACAAAATGATCCACCAAGCTTCTATCCAACAGCCTGACACAGTCATGAACACAACCTAATGATTTCACGATCACCTCTTTCATGTGCTATACTTTTTGCAGCATAAGTTTAATGGAAGCAACAGTGGCTGAAGTATTAATAAGGGACATTACTAAGCTTCATGGAACTCCTAGGGCCATTGTTTCAAACAGGGGCCCAGCTTTCTTAAGAAATTTTTGGAAGGAATACTTGAAATTACAAGGTATAGGCCTCAAGCATTCAACCATAATCCCCGATTAGATGGGAAAACTGAGGTACTTAATCAATGTCTTGGATACTTATCCGAGGTGCTTCACCAGTGAGAAGCCCCGCCAATGGGTGACGTGGATTCCTTGGTCTGAGTTTTGGAACAACACTTCATACCACTCCACAATTTGAATAATTCCATTCAAGGCCTTGTATGTAGGGCTGCAATCAAACAGAGCTCTAATTGAATAGTACAAGCTCAAGTTGAATTAGGCTCAATTCAAGTTCAATTCTAATCAAGTATGAATCTCAAGGTAAGCTCAGATGCTTGATTTGTTATTCGAACTCGAGCTCAGTCAATAAATAGTTCAGCTCGAAAGCTTGCGAGCCTGGCTCGATTAACATAAGATAATATATATTATGAAATTACATTTTTATATTCTATATACAATATAAGAATATACTATATATTATAAAAAATATATCATATATATATATACATAATACAAAAATATATTCATTTTCAAGCCTTCGAGTTGAACTCAAGCTCATTGAATATTTTATCAAACCAAGCTTGAACCAGGAAATAGAGTTTGAATCAAACTCAAACTCAAGTCTAATAGCATTTTAATCCAACCGAGACAAGACATGTAGAAGTTCGGCTCGGCTCGACAGCACCCCTACTTGTATGGCCAAGAACCTCCTCCTATACTCCCTTATGAAAAAGGTTTAGCAACAATAGCTTCAGTGGAAGAGAACCTCTTAGCCAGGAATGAGATATTACAGTCACTCAAGGCAATTCTACTACAGGCCCAGCAAATAATAAGCCCCAAAGTGACCTACGACACCATTTGGTTGAATACCAGGTGGGAGACAGTCGGGGACTTTGTGCATTTGAAGTTGCAGCTATACTAGCAAGTAATAATGGCATGTAGGGCTTGGCAGAAATTAGCTCCATGATATTACAGCCCATTTGAAATTGTTGAAAGGATTGGCATAGTAGCTTATCATCTGAACCTCCCTAAAGGCTCAAGACGACACTTCATCTTCTACTTTTCTCTCCTCAAGAAGTACCTGGTCCTCTCACTACAACCACCCCCACTGTTCCAAAGTTTTTTTGATGAGGGGAAGTTAGTCACCTAGCCAGCTGAGATACTAGACTACCGTTGGGTCAAACAAGGCAAGAAAATTTGACAAGAAATCTAGTGGCCTGGCCAAGGCTATTTGGATGATACCACCTAAGAAGACTGTTCTAAACTGCAAGGACAGTTCCCACAGTTTGTCCTTGAGGACAAGGACACTCCCAAGAGAGCAGGAGTTGTTAGGACCTGGGCCAATGCTGATACAAGCCAAACTGCAGAGGAAGCTGAAGCCAACAAATTGATGGATTCCAATTCGATTCCTCAAGTTCGACAGCCCAAGTCCCTCATCATAAGCACTTATATGAGGAAGACGAAGTCATGTGACAACTAGTCTTGTCAGATTATGTTACAAAAATCTCTCTAATTCAATTAGTTAAGCTATGCATGATGTAAAGGGTGATGTTATATAAATCCGAGCCTCATTTGTTTTGGTTGTCAAAGAATTATTTCCCTCTTCTATCCATTTTCTCTTCTTCTTCCTCTGTAAGGAGTCTGTGTTCTACTCAAAAAAGCACCTATGTTGGGCAAATCCCAACATTTTACCATTACACCAAGTAATGGCCCCTAATATTTTAGCAAAAATATGTTGATCAAAAAATATATTTTAGCAAAAATATGACCAAATTTCCTTCAAAATTATGTAATTGCAAAAATTCTTTTTGCAGATATTCAGACACTTTTAAATAGGAAATTTGATCAGAAATTGCAAGCCATGTCTCTCTCTAACAGTTTGGTCCAGTTTCCAGAAGAGTTCAATTTTTGTGCAGTTCTTATTTGTTCAAGTAGTAATTGTTGGCCTAGCTAGGACTAGCATCACCATTACAATTCACGGGTCATCAATTTTTAGCAAAGGAAAATTTCTGGGGGGGATGTTAAGCCCTATGAGTCCTAAGGGTGATGCTAGCCCCAACTAGGCCAACAATCTCCCCCCACCCCCAACCGAGACCGGATCTGCTCCTCACACAGGGTGCCTCACACCGACCTCACACGCACATTCTGCCATGCATTGGGAACATCTCCCATACTTACAAGTTATTATTCGCGGGAGATGTTCCCAATGCACAGTGGATGTACCTGTGAGGCGCCCATGTGTGAGGAGCAGATCCCGTTTCCCCCCCCCCCAACCCCCCAATGTTACCCCAGGGGACTCAAACCCACAACCTCACTCTGATACCAGGTTTAGGATCAAAGTGCTAAGAACTACACCAAAAGCTATAGTTGATGGTGAGGGCACAACTATATTTCCTTGTTACGGATGGGAATGTTAAGCCCCACGAGTCATAAGGGTGACGCTGGCCCTAGCTAGGCCAACAGTAATAACATGACAATGATATAAGAAATAAAACCTTGTAAACTTTAGGTTTACATGAACAAATTGATCCATAAAGAGAAGCTTTCACAGTTTACAATGTTTACACAACACAGGAAAAAAGCAGAAGACAAGCCTAAGATGTACATTAAACTAAAGAATAGTAGATTTCCATATGGAATTACCTTCTCCCCAGCAGCAAGAATAATCAGTTGACCATCTTCAGCAGGCTTTTTGCTACCTGACACTGGAGCTTCAAGGAAACATCCACCTTTTTTTGTAATTTCCTGCAGATATTGGAAACATGCAATACTTACTTAGTATTCAGTCTAAAAATGTTAGCTCTCACCTCACTAACTCAGTTATTTAAATTTTGAAACATGTATTTTAGATATAGGAGACTATGAAAATAGAAAGCTGAAAATCTGCTTGTAGAAGAAAAAATTGATGCAATTGAGGAAGGTCCTGAGATGGCAATAGGATCTGCTGACTGCTGCAAACTCTGAGACTGGATTCAATTTCGTTGGTAGTGCAGATTCAGTGGGGAAGTAGAATCTGTAGAGAAGATGGGGGTAGTTATGTAATTTTATCTTTCTTTCTTGTATTTTAGTAGGCATATACATTAGTGTACAGCTTCTTTAATTCTTTTGTAAAGACAAATTTGTTCATTCATATTTCTTTAATATAAATACCCTCTTTTTGGGTTGGTTTGATCAGATTGATCAACCCTAACAGATCTGGACTATTGTTCTTCCTCTTGTCTCTTCACTTTCTCACAAACTAACATGGTATCAGAGCAGGCTGTTCTCTGATCCATTACTTGTTCTTCTAATCTGTTTGAGAGCTATCCTCATCGTTGATTGGTTCTGGACTGTTCTGATCATTCCAGGAACTAGTTCTCTGTATTTTGCGCATCCAGCAAGAGAGATTTCATTGGATCTCTCTCGGAAGACATCCGTTTGCAGTGAAAATTAAAAGGAAGTGTCGCCTAGTCCTCTTCTTCATCCCCTGAAAGTTTCACTGAAATAAAAGAAGTATTGAGAGAGATCTATACATCTCTTCTGGGCGGCAGCAACCAGTTTTTCCTTTTTTGGACTGTGTACTCAGTTTTCAACTATTGCTGTATCTTGGACACTTTCTTTCGACTGTAAGAGATTTCTTCTCTTGGTTTTGACTATCTTGAATTGGTTTTTTGCTTATATTCCTTGCTTCGATTGCTTTTTTGCTTTGTGTTCTTACTCGACATGGGTCTGGAAAAGAATGAGATTATTTCTGTTAAGTTTGATGGAAGCAACTATGCTCTCTAGAAGTTTCACTTTCAGTATTTTGTTGAAGGGAAGGGTATGTGGGGTTATATTGATGGTTCCACATCCATTCCCGATGCCGATGATATCAAAGGGCTGAAACAGTGGAAAACTGAGAATGCACAGGTTGCTTCGTGGATTCTCGGTTCTGTTACTATGGATGTCAGTATTCCAATGAGGGGACTCAAATCTGCCCATGACATGTTCGAATACCTTGAAAAGGTTTATCAGCAATCAAATATGTCTAGGCAATATCAGATTGAAGTTGATATTTTCTCTTATATTCAAGGGAAGAAGCAGATAGGAATACTATGTTTGGTTTGTGAACCTTTGGACTGAATATGAATTGGCTCACTTTGTGGATCTCTCTACTGATTGTTGTGTGAAAACTATGAAGAAACATCTCAGTAAGAGAAAGACTGCATTTTTTGATGCATCTCAGATCTGATTATGAAACCCTATGCTATAGTATACTCAGCAAAGAGTCTGTACCAGATCTTGTTATTATACTTGGTGAGTTATTGAGAGAGGAAACTCGTCTCCTCACTCAGTCTGCACTTGATCAGAAGAAAGAACATGGAATAGATATTGCCTTCTTGGCCACCAAACAGAAGGGGAAGAAGGATTTCTCGAAGATGCAATGTAATGAATGCAAAGAATATGGACACGTAGTATCCCACTGTAAGAAGAAAAATTTTCGCACCTACTGCAAACAGCAGGGCCACATTATTGTGGAATGCCCAATCAGGCCCCCCAAGAAAGGACAACATAAGGCTTATCAAGCCTCGGCTGAACCAACTCCAACTAATACTGCATCATCCTCATCAGCTCACAAACCAGATGCACAGGAAAATTTGACTGAAGATAAGATTCATGAGCTCATGTCCTCGGCTATTTCCTCAGCTTTTTCTGCTATTGAACTGGCTGGTAAGTCTGTTTATTTGTGTTCTCCTTCACGCATGTGAATCATTGACTCCGGGGCCTCAAACCATATGATTAGGGCCTCCTTTGGTCAATCTTCTAAACCTTACACCTTTGTCAACCACATTATTACTGCTAATGGTGATTCTCTTCCTATATGTGGGTGTGATGATTTATTTCTATCCACTTCTAAGCCTACACCCTTACATCTTCCTAAAACCTTTTTTTGTGCCTAAGTTGACTACTAGCCTTATTTCTATTGAACAACTTGTTGATGATGGTAATAATGTTTTGTTTACTCGTGATGGTTGTTTTATCTAGGACTAGTACACTGGGGAACTGAAGGAGAAGGGGCATAGGCTTAGAAGACTGTTTGCTCTGGAATTTGAGAATAAGAAAGCTCCACCAAATTTTTGTTTGCTATCTATTACTTCTAGTTTTTCTCCTACCTCTTGTAATAATGCGTGGCACTTATGGCATAGACGTTTGGGTCACACTCATGCTAAAAACTTGGATTATTTATTTTCTTCTAGTTGTTTGCCTATGGCTGTTACTTCTTTTAAGAATGTTGATAAATCTTATTTAACTTGCTGCTATAGTAAAAGCCATGTTTTGCCTTTTCCATCTTCTATTGAGCATGCTTCTACACCTTTTTACCTTATTCACAGCGACGTGTGGTCGTCTCCGGTTATTTCACGTTTGGGTTATAAATATTTTGTATTGTTTATTGATGATTGTACTCGATATACGTGGGCTTACTTCCTTCAAAAGAAATCAGAGGCCTTTCCCATTTTTAAGAACTTCCATGCTATGACTATGACCTAGTTTAAAAGCACTATAAACATTTTGAGGTCAGATTCAGGGGGAGAGTACTTTGATGGAGAGAACGGTGAGTTTCAAACCTATCTCAAACAACATGGCATTCAGTCACAGAGATCTTGCCCAAGTACACCTCAACAGATTGGGGTATCTGAGAACAAGAATCGTCACATTGCTAGTATGGTGTGATCCTTGTTACAAGACTCCCATGTTCCCATTACCTTCTGGGTGGAGGCGATCCGCACTACTGTTCATCTCATCATTCCTACTGTTATCCTTAAAAATCCTTCCCCCCATCAATCCTTGTTTCATCATCCCCCTAGTCTGTCCATGCTTTGTGTCTTTGGTTGTGTCTGTTTTGTCCATCTTCCTCCTCATGAACGCACTAAGCTAACAGCTCAATCAACTATGTGCGCATTCATGGGATATAGTATGGAACACAAAGGATTTCTCTGTTATGATCCCAAAGTCTGAAGACTGCACATTTCTCATAATGTCATTTTTCTTGAGAACCTTTCATTCGTTGCACATATTAGTAAATTGCCTACACCATCCTTTTCTGTTCTACAACATTTTGGCTCTAAAGGTGATCCTCCTCCCACATCTCTGCCACTTCAAGTTTATTTCAAGAAGCATCCAGCTCGCCCATTGCCTATGCCTCCTCCACCTCCAACACTAGTGACTGGTGATTCCTCTCCACCCATCACTGATGTAAGTTCCTCTTATCAACCTATTGATCTACCTTCATTCGTTCTTTTGCGTCGATCATCTCATGTTTCTCGTCCACCTGACCGCTATGGCTTCTTTTCTAGCCATATCTCATTCTCAGTTGTTCTGTCATCTACAGATATTCCTAAGTCTTACAACCAGGCTGTAGCAGTTAAGCATTAGAAAGATGCTATGGACTCTGAGGTTCAGGCTTTATTGGAGAATGATACCTGGGAGTTGGTCACTCCTCCTCTAGATGCCTCCATCATTGGTAGCCGATGGGTTTACACAGTGAAACTTAAATCAGATGGTACTCTAGACAGATATAAAGCATGGTTGGTTGCTCAAGGCTACAAGCAAAAATATGGAATTGACTATGATGAGACCTTTGCTCTAGTGGCCAAAATGACAACAGTCCATTTACTCTTGGCCATTACTGCTATAGACAATGGACAATTCATCAAATGGATGTCAAGAATGTCTTTCTCCATGGGCATTTACAAGAAACAATTTACATGAAACCACCTCCCAACTACTGCGATGATCCTCATATGGTGTGTAAATTGAAGAAATCTTTATATGGTCTTAAGCAAGCTCCACAAGCTTGGTTTGACCGCTTCCGTACAGTGGTGTTGGAGGCTGGTTTTCAGCAAAGTGCTTTAGATTACTCTTTCTCACTCTCAAGCGAGCACAGGGGTTGACTCTTCTCTTGGTATATGTTGATGATATACTTATCACCGGAGATGATGTGGATGGCATTAACAATTTGAAGATCCTTCTCAGAAACTCCTTCAAAATGAAGGATCTTGGGCCTGTTACCTATTTTCTTGGGCTTGAAATTCAGTGATGTCCTCAAGGTTATTTTGTTAACCAACAGAAATATGCCTCTGATTTGGTGACACTTGCTCGCTCAACTGATTCTAAACAAGTGGATAAACCTCTAGAGCTTAACCGTAAGCTAAGAAAGGATGAGGATGAGCTTCTCCCTGATGCTACTTTATATCGGTAGCTTGTAGGTAGTCTTATCTACCTAACTATGACTAGACCGGACATTTCCTATGCGGTCCAGCTTGTCAATTAGTTTATATCTGCTCCACGTCAACCCCACTTCTTTGTTGTTCTCCGAATCATCTGTTATGTCAAGGGCACCCTATCTCATGGCTTGTTTCTCTCATCTTCATCCTCCACTCAGCTTCAAGCTTATGCAGATGCAAATTGGGTAAGTTGTCCTGACACTCGTCGTTCCATTACTAGTTGGTGTATATTTCTTGGTGACTCTCTGATTTCTTGGAAATGCAAGAAACAACAAACCATTTCCAAGTTATCTATAGAAGCAAAGTAAAGAGCAATGTCCTCAGTATGCAATGAAATAGCTTGGCTCAAAGCTCTACTTCATGACTTGGACATTGATCACTCATCTGTCATCCCCCTGTTTGCTAACAACATGAGTGCGATCAAGATTGCATCCAACCCAGTATTTCATGAGCACACTAAACATATCGAGGTGGATTGCCACTTCATTCGTGATCTTCTCC